CCCCCCCTATTCTTTCATTTCTTCCCCTCCATCCCTTCTTTCCTGCTCTTACCAAACGGGTCCACACCGCCTCAGTGGTCTCCACCCGAGCCAGGCTGTCCAGCTCCAGGCGGCATCTCTCCTGACCACGCTGCACGTCCACCTCCAGCACCAGGCCTTGCTTGACACACAGAAACACCTCCTTCTTCCTCCTCCCCGCCATCCTCTCGCCACTGTTGTCTTCCTCGTCCGATAACACACCCACGAGAAGAGGGTGACACAGGTCCACTAAGAGGAAAAAGAAAAACCTTTATGTTCTACATTAAGAAGAGTCTAAAAAGAACAAATGTATGAATAAACTGAAGCTCTGTCTATTATGATCCTTGAATCCCACCTCCTAAATCCTCCTCCTCCTCGGCTCCTCTGCTTTCTGCTCTCTCCGACCGCTGAGACTCTGGACTCGGCTGAGGAGAGTTCATATCTCCCTGGTTGGCCCCCTGGCCGTCCACCGTGCTATCCTCCAGACTTGACTCCGTGTTTCGAGTGCTCTGAGCGGGCCACTGCAGCGTGGACTCAGTTTCCTCGTCTCCATCTGCGTCAGGCGTCTCCGTCCTGAGCTCGGATGAGAAAAGCGGAGGCGGCAGGACCTCGGGTGCCTCCAGAGATGGTGGAGACGACTGCTGCTTCCCGTTGCTAGCGGACGGACACGGCGTGGAGGTGCTGAAGCCGTTGGTGAGAGTTTGGCGGTGAGACGGTGGCTGGTTTGCGGTGACAGTGCTGATAATGGCAGAGGAGGAAGCTTCATCCAGATGGTGCTGGTACCTCAGCCAATCCTCCCCCAGCTGATCTCTGAAGCTGGACATCCGCTCAATCTCCTGCTGGTGAGGAAGAACGATACCTGGTGGAGGAATATGAACATTTACTATTTAGACACTAATTTAACATCTGAATAAACGTGTTTCACCAACATTATCAGCAGCTCGTAGTTAAAACAAAGAGTGTAAAAGAGATTAAATACCCACTTTGTGAGGAGGAAAACTGTCTGGGATTGTAATCTGTATCGCTGGGCTCGGATATGCTGGCCCTCCGCACTTTGACCTTACTCTGAAACACAAAAAGGTTTCGACACAAAGACACTTAGAGTTTGTCAAGATTTGTGGGTTTTGTAGAAAGAAAATATAAAAAAAGCACTAACAAAGCATTTCAACACACTGAGCTGCTCTCTTACCTTGGATTTCTTTCTGCGAATGTGTGACACCCCCGCATCAACCGACACGCTGTCACTCAGCTCCCCGGCGCCACTGGATCCGTCCTGGTTACCGCGTTCTGGTGGCAAGGACACTGGAGGCGTCGTCTGGACCTGGACAATGAGATGACCCGGTTTGGGCAGAACCTGCAAAAACAAAGGAGGAGTCTTTGTGATCGTGTGTGATTCAGCATATCATATCTGAAATACACAGTAAATTCTCTGAAGAGCTGTGAGTGAGACGTAGCTCTTTCTACCCTCAGTGTCCAAATTGCAGGGGTTCAAAAGTAATTGGACACTTGGCAGATGTTTGTTGGGCAGGCGTGTGTGGTTTCAATGTGAGTTCATGCACGACAGAGCGGACACGTGGCTCAGAGTCGACTGAGAGTTAGGAGTCGATGTTTGAGTGAGAGTCTGGACATTTTCCTGAAATGTTCTGGTGGTTTCGTAAGTGAGAACAAATGTCTGAGTCAGTGTCTCTGGACATTTTCTGGATCTTCTCCTGCAGCCTCCTATTAAAATGTAAAATGTCAGAATGAGTCCATGAGAGAAAACAGCAGGAAAACATCTGGAACCCTCCCAGTGAGCGGGTGGACGTGTTGATAAGGTTTCTAACACGTGACGGAGTTGAAACTGGAAGAACTCAAATCTCTCAGGATGGAGAAGAGGAGCCGTACACGTAGAAGACGAAGACGTCAACTTGGAAAGACGAGGAGGTTCCAGATTTTTTGGCGATGAGGGCCGACGCCGGTGTGGACGAGCTGTAAACAACAACACAGATCTTTCCACTGCAGAATGTATACGTCATGTCCCGCCTCCTGATGCTCTACAGGCTCCACCCCTCGCCTGAACGTCCCCCACATGTTCCTGTTGTTGTGAACGAGTCGACAATCTGCTGCTTCACAGGACAGACTCTGACTACAGGACATGTCCAGACACAATGTCTTGTCCATTTTGTAATGTTAAAATCACTTTAGTTAAGAGTAGAGTTAGGGTTCGTCTCTAAGGGACAATAAAAACCAAACGTCTCTCAGACAGGTGTCAGAGGTTTGCGACAGTGGGTCGATCAGATCACATCCAGATTGAGAAACCTACCGATAACTCATATGAAGAGAGTGGAACGCCATCGAGTTTGAGCTGGAAAGACACAAAAAGAACATTGGTTTTGCAACAAAAACAAAACACAGCAATAAAAACCATGACATGCCATTTTTCTCCATCAATTGCCACCACAAGGGCCTGCTGACGATTTTCGAATACCACAAGTCACGCAGATACACCCTGACATTCACACACGTAAACAGGAAGCTCGTGTGTTTGTGTGGAGGGACACAGCATGAGTGCACAGCCGACCACATGGAATTTAACAGCCTCCGTTTCATTTTTAAGTGTTTTTAGAGCAGGACATCGTGTGAGCTGCTTCCCTCACCGACACATGAGCAGCTATAATTCTTACTCACTCTCTGATTGGCAGCCTTCGGAGAGAGATGTCGGACGGTGCAGGTGCGGTGGGTCTTCTGGAAGAACAGCGGGTTTCCTTCCAGATTCAACTACAAGACAACATCATTACGTTTTACAGTGCGCAGGTCTCACGTACGGTTTCCCCACTAAACCCCACAGCGGAGGGTGAAAGTGAGAGGAGTCAGCGAGCTTACTGTGTGGAGGCAGTGAAGCAGGGATAGAGGAGCAAGCTGGGAATGCTCCAACAGGAGGTTGTAGGCCAAGTCTAAGTGCTGGAGTGAAGACAACTGCTCCACGCCTGTTTCATGAGAGGAGAAGACACATAAACGACATGCGCACACACATGAACAGAAACAGAAACCTGCAGCTCAAGTGTCTGATTTGATTCTGATGAGTTTTGAGGCCGAAGGCAGAAAGTAAACAGGCAGGTGTGAGGTTTTTTCTTTGTGTCACGACAAATAATATCAGACAAGCAGAAGGATTTCACACTCGGAGGCATCGATCACGTTCCTGTTTTTCCTGTTTTCATTCGCTCACGACTCTCAGAGTTCTGTGAGAGGATTGACCAACTGTCTGAACTGTTCGTCTGCTTCTCAAGAACACACTCTGCCAGTGTAACGCACCATTTATAGTCTCCAGTTCATTGTTCCTGAGGATGAGTGTGAGCAGTTTGGCCCTGGCACTCAGGCCAAGCGTTGGCGCCATCTGCAGGCAGTTGTAGCCCAGGTTCAAGCGCTCCAGTTCACTCAAGGGCTGAAAGAAAGACAGAAAAGCAGAATCAGGGAGCGACACAAGCATTTATTCAAAGCAAAAAATAAAGTTTGAATATATTTACACAAACATTTAGAAATTCGGCACACTCCTGAATCTTGTTATGGCTTAGGTCCAGAGATTTCAGGACGTTCAGTAAACTCTATGAGAGACAGAATGGACGAAGCAGAATCAGACGATGTGAACATCAGCTCATGGGTCAGTGATGATTCATCTCCGTGCAGACTCACTATTGACTGGTCAAGGCAGACAATGGAGTTGTAGCTGAAGTTGAGGGTGTGCAGCTCCAGCCACGGCAGTGCAGAGCTCAGATCTCCTCCACACAGAGACAGCAGCTCCTGGAACCAACAACAACACAAAGCTTTTGTATATATACACTCGAAGTAAAACGCATACTGATGGGAAACAGTTATGTGGACGTAGACTAACTGCCCCTCCACAGTACCTCCAGGGAGCTGAGACTCTTTGAGCAGGTGAAGACCTCCAGCTGGGAGTAAACTCCTCTGAGTCCCTCGAGACAGTGTGGAGGGATTCGTTTCAGCTGGAAAAGAAAAAGAGACGCAAAGAAACACGGGGTTCATGTGGGAATGATCCCCGACAGATTGAGACAGATGAAGTCAAGGGACGACAGAGGAAGGAATAAAAGGGTTCAAACCTCCAAACACTTCAGTGACTTGAACGGGAAGATTTTCAACACAGACTGAAGTCTGACATCTGGAGGGTTGATGAGCTGCATTTACAAATAAACAAGATACAATGACTAATATTCACAGCTGCAAAACAAAAAAACACATCAATTATTGACAAGGTCACGCAATATAACTTTCCCACCTTGAGGGAGACGGTCTTCTGGAGGACATCGAACAGAAACTGCAGCTGCAGCAGAGACTCGGTGTCCGCAGGGTGGGAGGGCAGCGCCAGGAAGCCATGCTGCTGGCTCCTGGACAACAAGTACTGTTCGAACAACCTGGTGAGGTGCTGCAGGCTCTCGGCCCGCAGGGTCAGCGTGCTGCTGCCGTCCAGCACCAAGTCACCTGAGGGCAGAAAAGACAACTCGATGAAAAGCGGATCCTGCAGCTGTACAACCAGCCCTGCTCCTAAGATGACACCGTAAACAAACCCAGGTGTGAGTTCATTTAACCGTGCAACACTCTACTATTGCTAACGGTGCAATTCAAAGTCTAACACGTAATCCTGGTACTTATTATATGTACTTATATATATTACCTTTACTGATGTCTTTATTTTGACTTTCCTCTCTGATCCTCTCTGTAAAAGCTAATGTCCCTGTTGTCGGACTAAAAGATGATTTTCTTGTCTTGTGACTTATCAGACAAATAACAACGTCAAAAAACAATGTAACCGTGACACATGATGAGATGATGAGACGAGAAGAAGGAGCATTGACATGAAATATGATCCAGCCATTCAGAGTCTCTGTGTTGAGATGCAGTGAGGCGAACATACCATCATTTCTCAGGAGTGTGGCCAGGCTGTGAACCAGTGAGGACTGAGCAGGGTGAGACACAGACATCCTGAAACACACGAGTTAGCATGAGCACGTGTCCACACAACAACACACACACGTCCACCAGCAGCCGTGACGCCGTGAAATCCATGAACACCGCGAGTCAAAGAGTTATTAATCATTAGAAGCTCCACTCGACCCTCTGAGGCTAACGCAGCTAGCAAAAAAAACTACTTCCTGGTAGCTTCGCCAAGCTAAGCTAAGCTCAAAGGACGTACCTCCGCGGTGACAGCCGGAAACAAGATGGCGAACATCAAAGTCTTCCTCCCACGGATGAAAGGGACACGCGTGAAAGTGTGAACATGAAGGGAAACGAAGTTTTAGCGGTGAGTTGTTGCTATGACAGCGCAGAGCAGGGATGTTGACATGGTGTGCGTCACGTGACGGGGAGTCCTCGGGCTGGACGGTGGCTCTGAACGACCAAAAAGGCGCACGACTGCGAAATAAATGAATTAAATGATTCGTGTTTTTTGTTGTTTTGTTGCGATGGAATATTTTAAACTTTCACACGTAAAGAGTCTAAAGAACTGTTTGATCGAAATCAACAGAAGTCCTGCTTGTTTAGAGGATTTCAGTGTCGGATGGTGGTACTGCAGGTGGCCACTGGGTGGTGCACTTGAGCAAGGACACACACACACACACACACACACACACACACACACACACACACACACACACACACACACACACACTGACTTCCATTCATTGTGTAACTAAAACCTGACCCTTAATCTAACCATGACCGACCTTAACCTACCCACAATCCACCTCACCACCCCTCATCATTAACCCATAGAAACAGCCTCATCTTTCATGTGCGGACCCTTTAGAGGTCAAAACTGAGACCTTTTCAGTGTTTGGGCCCGGGCGGCGAGGACGGAG